TTATTATTAATGTATACTTCACCTATCGGAGCATCTTCAAATATTTTGAGTGGATATATATTATATATATTTCATTTGTATATATGTTTGTATGTGTAAATGTTTGTTTGTATGTATGTATGTACGTATGTGTGTATATATGTATGTATGTATGTATGTTTGTATGTGTTGTTTCTTGTTGTTTGTATATTTGTTTGTTTATAAACCAACATCTGCTATCGTCATCATCGCTAACATAATCACAATCATCACCGAAATGATAATAATAATAATAATAATAATAATAAAATAATAATAATAAAATAATAATAATAAAATAATAATAATAATAATAATCTTTATCATCATCATCACCGCAGGGACCATTATGTTGGGTCATTTTCTCAAATTTCCTCAAGCAACAAGAATCCTCCCTACAGCAACAACAGCATTAGTTTAGCAGTTGGTGGCGAGAAACGCCGCTACAACAACAGCTACCACAACGACGACAGCTTTTACTACCGTTCCAGCGATTGCTACAACAACAACTACTACTACTACAATCACATCAGTAGCAGCAACAACATCAACATACTACAACAACAACAACAACAGCATCAACAACATCAACAACAACAACAAATTGACTTTAATACACCGCTAAATTATCCGAGTTTAAACTACAATCACAACAACAGCAACAATAATAACAACAACAATTACAACAATACTACTACCACTACCACTACCACTACTACTACTACTACTACTACTACTACAACTGCTTTTACTACTACTACTTATAATAATAATAGTAATAATAGTAATAATAACCATTATCATCATCATCACAACAAAAACAACAACATCCGCAACAAAACTAATCTTAATGATAAGAACAACGATGATTGTAACCATATCAGCGACATAAACAACAACAACAACATCACCTATGACGTCATCATTACGTCAACAACAGCAACTACGATAACATTAACTACAACAACAACAACATCGTCATCACCAGGCAGGAATATTCTTGGTGAAGACGCAACTATGAAAAAATCCCGGACAAAAAACATATATAATAACAATCCTTGCAACAACATCTACATGGACAACATTCACAACAACAACAACAGCAGCAACATTCACAACAACAACAGCAACATTCACAACAACAACAGTATCAACATCAACAACAACAAACTGAAAAAATTTCCATTTCTCCGCAATCAAACCGATCCAAGAAAAACAATATTGATCCCTACAACATCAACAACAACAACAGCAACATCAACAACAACAACAGCAACATCAACAACAACAGCAACAACAACAGCAACAACAAAACATCGGCAACACTCAGATAAAAACAAAAGATTGAACTTGAGCCAAGAAAATGCAAGCAAATTCGTTAAAAACGCCAGGCAAATTTGCAATGAGAAGCTCCAACTTTCACTCCATTCTGACAGAAACTGTACAAAACCATGTCGAATTTCATTACCGGTTATGTCGAGTTTGAGCAAATCCCATGATCATATTCCAGTTGAGGTGATGGCAAATAGGGGCGTTTTTGCGGGGGGCAGAAAATTTGAGGGGCCCAGAAAGATTAGCAAACCCGCGAATTATCCTGCCGCTACTACTGGTAGTGGTAGCAGCGGTGATGGTCGCGATATTGGCGTTCATTCGAAAAATGAGAATAGACAAAGATTAAACTGTGTTTCTGTTGAGGCTTATGTTGATGGTGAGGATTTTGAGATTTGCAGACGTGATGACGTCAAATGTCACTTCGTCCCTGTTCCCAATATGAAAGATGCGCGCCGGAAGTTTTTTGAATCTAACCCGAACTCTAACTACAGCAACAACAACAACAACATCAACAACAACAACATCAACAACAACAACATCAACAACAACAACATCAACAACAACAGCATCAACAGCATCATCAAAAACAACAACAACAACAGCATCAACATCAACAACAACAACAGCATTATCAACAACAACAACAACAACAGCAACACCAACAACATCCAACAAAGGTTAACTTTTGCTGATCAGTCATATACCGACAGCAAACACAATGACGTAGGCAACTTCTTTTTCGGAAACCGAATGACGTCATCGTCGACAAAATACCTTGACAGGTTCTCCCTTAACGTGACATCTGTCGACAAATCTGGTGACTTTTTATCTCAGTTGAATTACGAACCGAAAATGCTGCAGATCGGTAGTAGGTCAACGTCAACTTGTAACATTAACAAGAATGACGTCATCATCAACAACAACAACAACAATAATAATAATAACATTATTATCAACAATAAAATTGGCGTCAACAACAACAACAACATAAACAACACCGATGCAAATTTTTCGAAAAGTAGACAGCCGACCACTTACCAGTTTCCTGATCTGGCGCCTAGCAGGAGAGCTTCGCTATTTACATCCTCGACGACAATGACGTCATTTCCGGCGGCAATTTCAACTACTTCAACTTATCATAAATCATTCAATCCGGCGCAAACTTATCAGCAAAAAATAACAACTGCAACAATGTCAGCAGCAGCAGCAGCAACACCATCGGCAATTACTTCTTCTTCTTTCTCATTGTCGTTCTCTACTTCACCATGGAAACTACAGACGTCGTCAACAACAACTCCCTCCCCAACAAAAATCTCCACAACAACAACACCCACACCGACAACAACAAAGCCGACGAAGACCCCGAAAAGAGAATCACAGGATTCAGGATTCGACATGCGACTCGAGGATTCGAAAATATCCGACGATATTATCACACCGTCTTATCCTACTCCGCTTCAGCATATCCCTTTTTCAACTCGTCCCATTCCTACTTCTAGTCATGACGTCATTTTTTCGGACTCAGCAGCACCGAGGAGGTCCTATAATTTCGTCCCCCCAGTGCCTAAACTTTCGCAAAACTCAATTAACTCGGATTTTTCCCATCCGCCATCTTTTCCAACATCATCTTCGCCCTCCTACTCATCATCGAGTTTGCTGTCACACAGTAGAATCAATACTGCCAATGCCAGTAAAAATAGCCAAGTCAGTGGCGCTGATGCTCCTAACACTGGATGCATACTTCGAAACAAAAATAGCAGAAGTGGTGGCAGTAGTAACTACAGTAGCAGCATCAGCAACAACCTTTACGGCCACTACATCAATAACTTCGGTAACGTTAACAACGAAATTTTCTCAAACAATGTCAGGAATTTTTACAATAACATCAACAACATCAACAGAAGCAACAACTATACAACAAGATCGCATTACTTCTCAACGCTGACAATGTCATACAACAATCGATACAGCAGTTGCTTCCCTTACTACAGCCACAACAATAACCGATTTAGCGGTACCAATATCGAGTTCGGTTTTCGGCCCATCCTCCACAGGCCTCTATCTTCCACGCTACCTCGTCTAACGATTGCCGAGTATCCGATATTTCGAATCGAGTATGGGAGTTTCGGTAAATTTAAAAAGCTTTCCAAAAAATTTGGAAATTTGAAGAGAATAAATATTAACATCTATCATAGCGCGAATGCATTCTATGGAATCGTCAATAAAAACACCTCAGCTCAGGTTTCAACATCATCATCATCAGTAGTTCAATCATCATCATCATCATCATCATCAGTACTGCAATCATCATCATCATCAGCTATGCCACCAGTAGCAGCACCACCACTGCCATCATCGTCGTCATCTTCACGGCCAGCAAGCGAAACTAACATAGTGGAAAAGAACCATTCGGAAATTCCTAAAAAGTTTAAAAACAGCCCAAACAATAAATCCAACAACCACAAAAACATTTTAGACCAGAGATGGCTCGACGAGAATACCGAGAGGATTCGAAACTTAGAAAGATTGTTATACCGCGTCGGGGCGAATACCGTAGCCAGCTATCACCTGAGAGAATATTTACCGAAACGAATTATGACGTCATCGTTTCTATGGCAACAACGGCATCAACAGAAGATAACAAATAATGAAAAAGATAGCGGAAATAAAATTATCGAAATAAAAAATAATAATAATAATAACAAAGATAACCATAATCTAAATTTGGAATCGCGTAACTATGGCGATGATGACGACGACGAAGATCACGATGATGATGATGACGATGACGAAGGAGAGAAAGATGGAAAAAAGATGGAACTTGATGAGGATGATGATGATGAGGATAAAGATGACGATGAAGATGATGATGAGGATGAAGATGATGATAGCTGCGGTTGTTTGAAATTTCGAAACAGTGATAACGATCTACTAAGCCTTGAAGAATGCAAGGTTAGCCGGCGATGATGATGATAATGATGATTGAGATGGTGATGATGATGATGATGACGATGATGATGATAATGATCATCATGAAGATGATGATGATGACGATGACTCTCAACTAAACGGGAGAAATGAAGCGCTGACGTCATCATCGCTGACGTCATCATCATTGTCGTTATTATTATTATTTATTATTATTATTAATATTGATATTGTTATTATTATCGTCATATTTCCTATTTGGTCCATGTAGGTTTGTTTACGTAAAAAAACACTGCTTTTGTTGTATACACACACACACACACACACATACACACACACACACACACACACACACACACACACATACACACACATACATACATACATACACACACATACACACACACGCACATACATACATACACACACATACACACACACGCAAGCACACAAACAAGTTAATATTATTGTATCGACAGCCTTTTATTGATTATACTCGAACGAATAAAACATAATAACAATAATAATAATAATATAATAATATAATAATAATAATAATATAAATAATAATAACAATAATATAAATATGTACGTTGGTGATGTTGAAGATTGAGCTGATGATGATGATGATGATGACGGTGATGATGATGACGATGATGATAACAATGATGTTGATATCTTGTGTAATGGGATACCCGATATCATATCATATCATAATTTCAAACATTTTTGTATCATGATAACGCATCTACATCGGCCTGTAAACCCGGTTTGGGTGCTATAAATAAAAATATTTTAAAATAAGGTATTAATAATTATAGCAATAATTATTCATTATTATTACTATAACGATAATTATTCTTATTTATTTATTCATTTTTCATTCAATCATTCATTCATTCATTCAAAAATTCGTTTATTAATCCATTAACAAATATTAAATGACAGTTTCAGCTATATTAGTGATTTCTCCATCAAATTCATTCATTTTTTGTTCATTCATTCGTTCTTTCCTTCTTCCACACATTCGTTTATTCATTCATTCATTCATTCAATCATTCATTCATTCATCCATTTATCCGTCAATTTATTTATTTATTAATTTTGTCATTAATTTGTCAGGCGATCTATCTATCTAACATTCATCTCTCTATCCATCCATTCATTGGCTCTCCATCCATTCATTCACCAATTAATTCATTAATTTATTCATCTATTCGTTTGTTCATTCATTCATCCATCAATCAATTAATTCCCTCTTTTGTTCCACTAATCAAAGGTTACACTAATCAGTCTGTTTATCAGACGGGATAACTTGCTGACGTGCCTGAAGAAACGATTTGTGAGCCTGCTGAACCAATCAAAATCAACAAGAGAGAAGGTGATGACGACGACGATGATGATGACGCTAGTGCTGCTGCTGCTGAAGATGATGATAAAGATGATGATGATAAAGATGATGATGATAAAGATGATGATGATGATAGAGATGATGATGAAATCTGTCGCTCTTTCACTGCTACACATCGACACGTTTTAATTGTAAATTGAAATACTTTCAATACGTTGACTATGATGATGATGATGGTCCGGATAGTTACCATCATCATCATCATCGTCAACATCATCACCATCATCATCATCATCATCACGCCTGTCGTCATCGTCTGTAACAAGGTCAAATTACAACACGTTCTGTGTGTGCAATCTTAATTTTGTTTTCTTTCTCCCCCTCTCTCTTCCCTCTCTCTCTCTCTTTTTTAACTTTCAACAAACTCTCTATTTTATTCATTCCTTTCTTCATTCATTCGTTCGTTCATTCATTCACTCATTCTGTCCTTCTCTCTCTCTCTCTCTTTCTTTCTCCATCTCTCTTCCTTTCTTTCTTTTCTTCTCTCTCTCCATCTCCCATCTCTCCCTCTTTTCTCATTCATTTCACGATTTTATTTTATACTTTTCTTAATTCTCTCCTTCTCTCTCTCTTCTTAATTCTTTCTTTTTATTTTTTTAACTTTCTCTCTCTCTCTTTTTCTCACTATCTTTTTCCCTCTCAGTTGATCGCTTCGTTTCGTTTTGTATTAATTTTTTACGTCCCAAGTTATGTTGTGTCTGGTATCTTTTATGTATTAATTGTGTTGTTTATGTTAGCGAGAATGGATGGATGAATGAATGAATGAATGAATGAACAAACGAATGGATGATGAAGGAATGAATAAATGAACGAATGAATGGATGGCTGGATAAACACATGTTGATGATTATATTGCTAATTATTTACCATTTTGTGGTTAGGGTATCTCTTAACTTCATCATCATCATCGTCTTCTTCATCACAATCATCATCATCATCTTCATCATTATCACATCCATCGTCCTCCACACAGATAGCCGGACAATTAGAAGAGAGATTAGTGGATAGAGAGAAAGAACGACTTCTGTCATTCATTCAAGGCTGTGACCAACTCACGAAGCTCATACTATTACTGTCTCAAAGAATGGCAAAGTGCCATTCGGAAATGGTCACAATGACGTCATCATCGGCAACCACAACATCAACAACAACAAACATAGCATCATCATCATCATCATCAGCCGCAACGGCCACGACGAAGATGATAAATGATAATACAATTGATAATAGAAATGAAATTAGCATAAATAACATTGAAGCTACTACTACTACTACTAATACTACTACTGCTACTACTATTACTGCTGCTGCTACTAATACTACTACTACCAATAATAATACTACGGCTACTACTACTACTACTTCAACTACAACTGCTTCTAATACTATAACTTATAATAATAACAACAACACAACAGAAACTTGCAACATTGTTGATTGGAGTGTTGATATTGATCTTACTACTACCGCCACTACTACTACCACTGTTGTGGCTGCTATTGTTACTACTGCTACCACTGCTACTTGTAGTAGTGGCTATACAAGCAGTGGTAATAGTACTACTTTTAAAGCAAGTAACGACAATGCTAATGTAAAACCATCATCGTCATCATCACCGCCACCGCCATCATCATCATTAGCGATGACGTCATTATCATTGCCTTCGTCGTCATCGTCAAAGTTGAAAGATTTGAAAACGAAACTGAAAGATGCCCAGCACCTCAAACATTCCATCGAACTGAAAGGTTTTATTATTATCGTTATCATTACTATTATTATCGTTATTATTATTACTATTATTATCCTTATTATTACTATTATTATCCTTATTATTATTATTATCGTTATTATTATTATTAAAGGTATCATCGTCGTCATCATCATCTCATCACATCCCAAAAACATCATCAAATCATCACGAAACTTCCACATCCAGGTTTGGTGTTATACGAGAGGTTCATTGAGAACTTCAGAGAGACCGACGACACCAACAACAACAACAACGGCAGTAGCCGCAGCAGCAACCACAACAGCGACAACAACAACGTCAGTAGCCACAGCAGCAACAACAACAACATCAACAAAAACAGCAGCAGCAACAACATCAACAAAGACAGCAACAACAACAAAAACAGCAACAACAACGACAACAACATCGATACATTTTTCAATGCAACGACAGCATCATTCATCCTGCCAATGGTTGAGAGGTGGTGCTGTGAGGAGATAAGATGGGGTACGGATGTTTTGGGTGAACTTAAAAATATCATCATCACCACAACCACCACCAACAACAACAACACCACCAACAAAAACAACAACAATAATAATATTCCTGATAATGATGATGGCGATGATGAAGACGACCATGAAAACAAAGTATGATGATGATAAATAAATGTAATAACGATTGTCCATATACTACATCTTCTCACATAATCAGAATTAATCACTATAGCAAGTTTTCCATGTGTGTTTTATAATTTTATCTCTCTCTCTCTCTTTCTCTCTCTCGCACACACATACATACACGCACGCACACAGACACACACACACACATACACACAAAGACACACAACTATACTACACACACACATATACATTAGATATAGTATCTATGATGGATGATGTGGTTTTACTCAGTTGCTTGTCTTTCTGTGTATATAAAAAAATATATGTTGGTTAATGTACATGTGTTTTAACTCGTTCATTCATTCATTCATTCATCCATTCATTCATTCATCCATTCATTCATTCATTCATTCGTTCGTTCATTCATTCATTCATCCATACATTCACATCAAATATTAAAATGATAATAAACAACGAATTCAAACTACCATCATTCAGTATTTCTCAATCATAAAATTTGAATTAAAAATAATATATATATATTTATTTATTAATTGAGTGTGTGTGCGTGTGTGTATGTGTGTGTGAGTGTGTATATAAGTGTGTATGTATGTATTAAGTTATTAATTTAAAAAATTACTAATAACCATTATTACATTAAAGAAATTACATAAAACATTTATACTATACATTATGTCTGTGTGTGTGTGTGTCTATGTGTCTGTGTGTATCTGATTTTTTGAACGAGCCAGCTGAACTATCCTTTTGAACAACAGACGATCCTAAATAATAATGTATAATAATAATAATAATATAATAATAACAACTATCACCACCATTGTTATTATTACGTAATTACACATCAAAAAAAACACCAACATCAATTAATAATAGTAATAATAATAACAGCAACAATAATAACAATAATAATAATTAATAGTTAACTTTATCCAGTTTAGTTACTATTAATAAAAGGCACATTATAGATGTGAACGCTATGTGTGTGTGTGTGTGTGTGTGTGTGTACATGTGTGTGTGTGCGATGTTGTAAAACGCTTTGTTTGTGTGTCTGTGTAAATGTATCTCTCTCTGTGTGTGTGTGTGTGTGTGTGTGTGTACGATTTTGTAAAACAACTGTATGTGTGTGTATCTGTGTGTGTGATTTTGTAAAACTGTGAAAATGAGTCAAATAAATTAACATCGGAATGTTTTTGTGGAAATAAGTTAATAAATAATATATATACATATATACATATTAAGCTCAGATATTAGCACAGATAAAAATGCAGTTAAATATATCATATATAAAGTTAGAAGCCAAGAATATGGGATTTAAAATATATATATATATATATATATATATATATATATATATATATATATATATCATTCAAGTATACACATTAATAAATCATAAACACGTATATAAATGTATGTGTGTGTATCTCTCTCTCTCTCTCTCTCTCTCTCTCTCTCTCTCTCCTTCTATGTGTGTGCGTGTGTCTGTGTGTTAAAGCATTGATCGACGAAAATGTTAAAGTAGGTTAAAAGTTATGAAAAGTTATGAAAGATAATACACAACCAAATAACAAATATATATATTTAATAATTAAAAAATAATTAATAAAAATGATTAAAATAATTATTATCAACGTGATTAAATTTGTTAGGACCTACACAATTTTATTTACTAACATTTAAAAATCACATTTTGCGTGTGTAACAAACGTAATTGAAAACTTTGCGAAGAATAAAAATGTACAGCTGATCAACAACATCATCAACGTCGTCGTTGTCTTCATCATCCAAATTATCACTAGCTAGCCAATCATTCTTTACCACCAACCAATCGAATTCAATTAATCTCCTAGAAAATAGACCAATAAAACTACCATTCTAATGCTTTCCAATCGTGACTAGCGAATAAAAATTAATCAACCAATAAAGAACCATCTAGCTCTCAACATATTAGAGTCAATTGTATTCAGTTTACCAGCCAATCAAAACAACTCTTATAAAATGACGAGATTAATCAGCCATCAAAACGAACTCATTGACCAAGAGAATCAAATCAAAATCGATCGTCCAACCAATCAAAATGAGCCAACCAGCCAGCCAATCAACGAACCGACCATGCAATCTAAACTAATCAATCAACCAATCACAAGCAAGCCAATCAGCAAGCACAGCCACCCTTCTCATCCCCGGCGCTGGCATTTAAATGAACTTGACCTTTGGCCTGCTGTGCCACGTGCTGTTTATCCACTGCGACCTCAATTCTGACCATGACCTTTTGTAAGAGGCACTCAATGGCCTTCGAAATGTTTTGACCAGTGGCTGCACTCGTCATAAAGTAAGGCATGCTGTGTGTACGTGTATGTGTATGTGTGTGTGTACGTGTATGTATGTGTGTGTATATGTGTGTGTGTGTAGGTGTATGTATGTGTATGTACATTGCATGTACGTGAGTACGTCAGTGTACGTGTGTGTGTGTACGGCGTGCAAAAAGAAAAACCACATTTAAATGTAAAGCAAATTACTAAGTGAACAAATGAAAATTTAAATACAGACAGACATATACACAGCAAGTACACACACACACACACACACACACACACACACACACACACACACACACACACACACACACACACACACACACAAACGCTTGCATGCATACAAACAATTACACACACACACACACGCACGCAAACAAACGCATCTACCACACACGCAAACAAACACACACAGAAAAAAAAACAACTTGAACGTTTCAGCAAACTTCTTAATCTCTTCATCCTTGACCTTCTGGTTCTCGAGGTCAACCTTGTTGGCACAGAGGACAATGTCCGGACTCTCACAATAGGCGTGGGTTTGCAGTTGGGTGATCCAATTTCGAAGGTTCACGAAGGACTGCTCATTGGTGATGTCGAAGACCAGTAGGAAACCCATTGCGTCTCTAAAAAACGCTGTTGTTAAGCTCCTATATCTGTGTTAAGGTTCAAATGTTAAAGGTCAATTTCTCTTGTGCACCTGCTTCAAAGGTTTCAACGTGTGTGTGCGTGTGTGTGTGTGAGTAAATTAGCAGGCATGTATGTGTGTGTTGGTGTATAAATCAACATTTGTGTGTGTTGGTCGTTGTGTGTAAAATAGAAAAACTACTAGCAACACTAAGTAAGTATGTGTGAACTGTGAGGCTTATTGATGTGTAAATTAGTGTGTGGCGAGTTAATTGGTGTGTATAGTTAAGAAACACAGACAGAAAGACAAACAGACAGACGGATGGACAAACAGACAGACCTTTCTTGACCAGCTGTGTCCCAAAGTTGGAGGTGTACCCTTTGGCTCCTCCCTGGCGAACCGTCAGGCATTGAAGTCTTGTGTATCTGTGTGTGTGTGTGTGTGTGTGTGTGTGTGTGTGTGTGTGTGTGTGTGTATGTTGTTGTTCTCATCTCTATCTTGTTATATCTACGTTATTACATTACATTTTTTGGTAACTTTACAACAAAACCAAAACAAAACCTACAATTCTTTTCTCCCGAAAGTCGATGCCAACAGTGGATGTGAACTTCCCTGTGAACTGGCCATCAGTGTACTGGTAGAGTATGGAAGTCTTACCCACTCCAGAATCTCCTAATTTTAGGAAATATAAAATTTTTTATATCTCCATTATGTTTTTTATCAAATCTGTCAAAGTTATCGACACAATGAACATACAATGCATAGTGCATGAAAATAGTTTACAAGTGCATCAATGCATCACACATACACGTGTGTGGGTAGGTAGGGGTCACCTTGCATTCAAACCCAGTACCTGCAGCCTCATAGCCAGGCATCATAACCATCAGGTCATTCAATGTTGTTATATTTTAATTATTTAAAAAAAAATGAAACTACCTAAAGCAAGGAACTTGATGAGGTAGTCATATTCAGCAATGTTCGTATTGGCAGACGTCATTTTGTGGTCTAAAAATTATTTTAAAAAATTAGGTAAGCTAGTAAGAAGTAACTAACAAATAGTAATGGTGGCTTCGCTCATTAGACGTTTAGACGGTTTAGAGCATGGTTAAAACTTAAAAGTCAAAGTGTAATACTAAGTTTTAAATACTGTGTGATTTTATTTTAGTACTACCTCTATTTTTACTGCCTCGTTAAAAAATATTTTTACTTCACTGCAAACAACCATCAATGTCTAACTAATTAATTAACCAACTTGGAAATTTAAATGGAGAACTACCTGTGTTGGTTGTTGTTGATGTTGACTATTTCTTCTTATTTGAAGATAAGGACAGGTGTTGTGAAAAAAAATCGTTCTAAATCTCGAGCTAAAACAAAAAAATTTAATAACAAAAATAATTAAAACTTATTAATTTAAAACAATTTCGTATAAAAACACGGCGATCTTGCGCTATTTTAATTTTGTAAAAAGATTAAGGAAGTTAAAAGTTAACTTAATTACAATATAAATAAATGTAGGAGTTGATATTAATAGTGTAGAGCCATATTTTTAAAAATTAATAAAAAATTAACTAAATTTATCACGCCGCGATATAGCTAACTTTGAACCGAGTTTGAAATGTACGAATTATTTTTTCATTATTTAAAACAATGTAAAAATTAATGCCCAAAATGCAAAGCTAAAAAGTAATTAAAACGTTTTTAAGACAAAAACTAGAAAATAAACGAAAAACATATTTATTTGAATTGATTTTAAGTTGATTTTCCAAAAATAATTTAAATAAATTTTGTCAAAAAATGAAAATAATAGTTTCCTAAATGAAAAGTCCAAAACAATGAAAAACATTTAAAAATTAAAACGTAAAACAAAGGAAAACTTAACATTTATAGTCTAAATAAAAAAAAAACCTATTAACAAATCGTCAACACCAATTATTCAATTAATTATCAATATTATTAGTTCCTTTATTGATTGATAACGCACTCAACCAATAAATCAAACAATCCACCGACAGACCAACCGACCAGCCAATCAGCCAGCCAACCAACCAACCGACCGACCGACCAACCAATCAACTACCCAGCCAGCCAACCGACCAACCAATCATTTACAAATGGCCAACCAATTATAACTAGCCAACGAATCAATAAAGACCAATCAAACAACCAACCGATCAGAATTTCATCCACTAAAATTATACAATTTGGTCTTCAATTATTACAAATAATGAAATAATAAAATCAAACTATAGACAAATATATATATATATATATATATATATATATATATATATATATATATATATATATATATATATATATATATATATATAAAGAGAGAGACAAAAGAGAGTTTGAAAGAAAGAGAAAGAGAGAGAGAAAAAGAGAGACAACCAAATTAATATACAATACAAATAATAATAAACATTTATACAAGTCAGGAAAAGACGAATTAATGATGGTAAAAATAAAATAAAAAAATCAATAACAACAACAATAATAATAAATATACTGATGATGATAATAATAACAATTGGTTTTCATATAATAATTATTAGAACACACAGAAAAAAACTCAAATAAACCAATAGACCAAAAACAACAAATAGCTAAAAACAAGCAACAAGCAAACAAACCCACCCACCCACACACACAAACACACTCACACACATACACACACACAGACGCAAACTTAAAGATATATTGCACTAATCAACATCTATTAACAAACGATTCTTTTTTAAATCAGAGAAATAGAGAAAAAAATCCATGGCCACAACAACAACAACAACAATAACAATAATAATAATGATGTTGAACGTCGGTAATTACAAATAAGACTTCTATTCAAATGTGTGTGTGTGTGTGCGTGCGTGTGTGTATGCGTTTGTATGTGTGTGTATGCGTGCGTGTGTGTATGCGTTTGTATGTGTGTGTGTGTGTGTATGCGTGTGTGTTTATATCTTAATATGTGAAATTGAGTATAACATTATCGGTCGTTTTTAGGTACTGATCAATAAAAATATTTGGCAAATTATTAATAAATTTAAATAATAATTGTTGTTATAATTATTAAGACTATAATTTATTAATTGTCAATCAATCAATCAATCAATCAATCAATCAATCAATCAATCAATCAATCAATCAATCAATCAATCAATCAATCAATCATTTATTAATTCATTCAATCAATCAATCAGTCAACTAGCAATCATTAGCAACAACGTTAATGATTCTTTTCCATTATGAAATGCTATAAACAAAAATCACTGTTTATTTTAAAGTACTGTCATCATCACCACCATCATAGTCATCCTCCTCCTCATCATCATAGTCACCCTTATTATCTCCAAATTCGATATAACCACCATAATGACGATGATATAACCACCCCCATCGTCATCATAATTATCTTCCTCAACTTCCATACAACCATCATAATGATGATGAAGATGTAACCGCCATTATCACCACCATCATCATAGTCTTGATCATCGTCATCATCGTATTCTCGTGAAGAGATTGAGCGCAGAATTGGTTTCCTGTATGTATGTATTTTTTTTTTATTTTTATTTATTTATTTAAAGTAAACCAGAAGCCCACCAGAAGCTTGTGCAGCAACTTAACTAACAGAAATTATACTGTTCAATTGTCAATTTAACTAATCAATAAAACAAAATTTGTTCATAATGTCCATAATGTGTGTATGTACGTACGTACGTATGTATGTATGTATGTACGTATGTCTGTCTGTATGTATGTTTGTTTGTTTGTTAGTATATAGAAAATGTCTGCAACCTTCCTAGACTGTGTCTTACTGAAGACATTCCAGAACCTCAGGGTCTCGTCGCCGGCCCCTGTTACAATACTTTCACCATCTGGTGAGGTCGCCTAAATTATAATTATAATATATATATAAATTATAAATGTAATTACATAAAATTATGATCACATATATATATTTAACTAACTTTAGCATTCGTATAAACGATATTATTACTTACACTATCAACGCTAATACTACTACTACTGCTGCTGCTTGCTGCTGCTGCTACTACTGCTACTATTGCAGCTACTACTGCTACCACTACTGTTACTTATATACCGCCCTATCTTGGAATAGTGTCAAGGAAGACAAGAAGCAGTCTTGCCAGTAAGAACACATGACTCACACCAGCAAAAACAATGGGAAGACAGCTGACATGACAATTAGTATTTTACGACCAGACCTTCCAGGCACTAACTACATTAAGGCCAATTAACATGGAGTACTGACCAGGTATAGGACGCGCATACTGTGCCCAGTAAGTTTGGCTATCTGATTGAGTGACGGATACTTCCATATCACTATCTGATTCTGAGAGTAGCCGTGTGTGCTTACCTGTTGATGGTGATGATGGGGAGAGAGATAGAAAACCCAGAGAGAGAGAGAGAGAGAGAGAGAGAGAGAGAGAGAGAGAGAGAGAGAGAGAGAGACAG